GATAAAGGGTCCATAGGGCCTACCAGAAAGTACGATATGGCATCTGTAGATGGCCAGAAAAGGCACCGAGACAAAAAAATAAAATAAAATAAAAATCGATATAATTTTCTTTTTATCTCCACAAAATGATTACAAATTTAAACATCCGCAACTGGATATATGATATATCCTATAGTCGATGTCAGGGACCCATTATGCTGTCTCAATTCAACAAAGGTTTGGGCTAGTGTGCTAGATCGAGGACCCTATGGGTAGCGGGGAGTCTAGGGTTGGGGCCCAGCGGACCGCCGCATGAGAGCGCATAGGTGTTACGCCACTGATAAACACGACAAAACGGAACAGAAATAAATCCTGTTGACGAAGACGGCGACTGTTAACTTCAAATGAAAGATACGAGATAAGGTTACAATAAAAAAAATAACACATTTAGACAGAAACAAAAAGGTTTAGACACATACACTATGATCTGTGGTTTAGATGACGGCCATGTAACGTTTTAACTCATATTGAGCTGGTCAATGATAGCGTCGTCGAAAGTGATTATATTATTACGACGAGGGCTAAATGTTTCAGGACCGGTGAAGCGCAAGAACCTTAAGTGTATCTTGTCAATTCGTTTAGAGTTTTTTTACATTCTTTTAGATATTGAATTAAAAAATGACAGAACAGAAATCTTAAAATGGTCTAAGAAGTGTGAGATAAAAGAAGCGTTTAATAGGAATATCAAAAGATTGCAACTGCGCCACATCCCAAGACTCTGTTTGCCCTCGCCGTATAATATAAAATTAATATATTTAAACGTTAACCTTGGATCAATAAATACAGTAGGCCTATAATACACCAAGGTCATTATAATAATGATAATCTACTTTTTCGAGTGCATTGTAATTGATTTTATAGTCGAATTCCCAAGGATTCTTTTTTGAAGTGGTTTAATTAATAAAACCTTATGGATATAAGTTATTTGGAAGCAGTACCGGTATCATACAAGATGCCCAACGGTACAGCGTGTCCAGATCCTCCTGGAGCACGCGAGCATTCTCGAGCGAAAAAATATAGTTTTAGAGAGTTTAAGATCGTCAGAGAAGGCTTTTAGAGTGTTTGAAAAAAAGTAATATCATTGATATAGATACTGAAGAGCAAAGGCCCCAGGGTGGAACCTTGAGGGACACTTGAGTTGACGTCATGCCATGATAATGAAAGCGATGACGAACTCTGCTGCCATATCCATCATACAAATAAGAAGTGAACCACGAAAGTAAACTACCACGAAAACCAATGTGTAATTTTCGAACTAACAGCATGCGAAACTGTGTAGAATTACATTACATCACGTTGCTTCTTACATTTGATAGCTTCATAGGCAGGTCCAAGGAGACACGCAAAATGTTTATTTCAACAATTTTTAGCCATCTTCTTGACTTTCGAAATTGAATTGCAGGCGAAAAGTGAGGGGGACACCCCCTTAAATATATGTGGCGACGTGTCCCCTTCTCCCATGATCTGTGCCCATGGGACCACGAGAGTCCACACCACCTCAGCCTCAACATGGTTGAGAATAAGGACCCATGGGTGCCCGGAAATTGCGCTCTAGCCATACTATAAAAATACAACAATTATTTTTCTTAATACCATTTAGGGGGTGCGATCGCACCGTCTGCACTCCCTGTAGTCCAGGATTATAAATAAATAAATAAATATAAAGGATGACTGTACTTTTAAAAACATGGGGTCAGATGAAGTCTGGTTGAATATTTTATTAGGCCTAGAAATTGTAGACCATACGAATAATATTTCAGTAGATTCATCATTGTGATTTGCACACATGCATATTATAAGATACTCTGTGGCCGATCCAGAATTCGAAATTGAGGGGGCACAGAAAATAACTTTTAGAGAGGCAGGGTCCAGACCATTTCAGCCCCACCATAGTTGCGTTGTGAGGTACGATATTTTATGGTCTATAACACTTTTAGGTGACAGGAAATAGCATTCAATAGCAAGACTGCTTCAGGAGGTAGTCGGTTCCATATGGCCAGTGCTCTTGGATAAAATGCAAACTTGATTTGCAGTTGGTACATTAAGATTTAGGCCTACATGTATTTAAGTAGACGTTTGTTAGATAAAATATATGTTGCTCCCTGGATGCATGATGGTGGAGAGGTGTTGGATATATTAAATGAATTTTAAACATCATGGTTGCTTGCTGGATTAAGTAAACTAAAGAGGAAACTAGCTCTACTGAAGACAAAATATTTTTGTTGGAATTTAATGGTTATAAACCGTAAAACCTTGAATAGAACCCCCATGGACTTAATCTCGAGAAAAAGCCCATCTAAAAAACAGGCCCCCTCTACAATTTGCAAAAGTAATTTCGAAAAAAGGCCCATCTATAAAGAAGCCCATGGACTTGTAATCAAGATATTGGCTTTTTTCGAGATAGTACTTAAATTTAGACTTACGTTATCTTTGATTATTATGATATTGTGTCACTATCAATATTATTTTATTGTTTTAGCTTGGCTAAAATGTTGAATTTCGAATTTCTTATTTGAACAATGCCTTATACTAGCAATTCTAAAATTTACAGAACTTATTTTGAAAAGAAGCCTTCCTCTTTAGTTTGCAAAGGTACCATAATCTGGAAAAGGAGCCCATCTAGAAAGAGGTCCATCTAGAAAAAGAACGCCATCCAGGGTCCTAAAAAATAAACCCCAGGGCTTCTTGGAGGTTGTATGGCATATTTAATGTTATCTTGTGGTTTATCGATACTTTTTATCCTACAATTATTTTATATTGCTTGTTTAGCTTTAAACTACGATACTTATCTGGTTTGTTGTTTACAATTATCTATGATTTTGTTCAAATTTCATAAAATAAATAAAGTATATGTATACTTTTTTTAAAAATCAACCACTTACTGATTCTCAATGATTTATCGAATCTATAGTACAATAATGGCCGAATGCATTTCTGAAGGACAATTTTTAGTCCATCCAATTTAACTTTGAAACTAATATATTAAATAATGCATTTATGGTTGCAATTAGGAATAATCGGTTGACATATAATGATAGGCATGCATCTATCTATTACTGTGTTTATTTATACAATTTCAAAAAAAATACTGACTAGTTTAAAGAACAAGCGTAATTGCCACTTGCGACAAGGTTGACAACCGATATTGTTAAAATGTTACTTAACGATTGGACCGCTCTCTCTAAATAGATTATCTCGTCAACGTCTTAGTTTTTTTGATTGAATTCTTATAAAAGGAGAAGTCACTAGCAGACTGGCATTTTCTCTCAGCTGTGTTTAGAATCTGGTAATTGTAAACTACTAGAAGACCTATTTTACCCAAGTCTATCATTATGGACACAACAATAGTTAAACAGTACCGTCGGTGCGGTCGGGTGTTCAACAAATGGTTTTGCGATATTTATTCTACTTCACTTTCAGAATAGGTTTAGTACAACAAATCTTCTGATTTTAAATCAGTGTATTATCGATTTGTTGTCATCTTTGATGGCACTTTGTCTTTTTCTAGATGCTGACGTAATGACCCGACTCCCGGAATCAAATTCTGCAGCAGAATTCGTTTGCAAGTTCTGGTCAAGCAAGTACATTTTCTGGTCATGTACATATTCCTCAACGGCTAATCTTGTGGTACTTACTTTGATCGTTACTTTGCCGTAATGTTTGCCGTAAAATACAACATAATTAAGGAACAGATCTGGATAAAAGTATTGATTTTGTTGATTCCATGGACATGTGGTTTCGCCTTCCTCGGCTTCTGGTCAGCGATACACACCGTAAGTGATGGAGTGTGTATACAGATTTGGCCAAGTGTTGAGTATCAGAAGGCGTTTGGTTTAATGACTGGAGTTTACATCCTTGTTATTCATGTCGGTGCAATGTTGATTGTTTACTTAACAATTTTACGTGCTCTTCGAAATCGAGTTGGAGTTGGTTCGTCTGCAGTGTCTGCGAGCAGTGCGGCTAGAAGAATGAACATCATTAAGACAATGGTGATAGTTAGTGTAACATATGTGATCTGTTGGACACCAAACCAAATAGCTTTTGTCAACTTTACATTGGGTGGAGGTCTCGATTTCAACGGACCAGTTTATTACACTGTAGTAGCCATGTCTCTGTGCAACATCTGTATAAATCCCATAATATACACGTTTAAATATAATGACTTTAAAGTGGGAGTGCGAAAGACTCTGCCGTGTCTTAAGTCTATATTCACTCCACAAGAACATAATCCAACAGGAACCACGCCACTCGGCACATCAAACAGTTAGTTAATGATGTTTTTTTTAGTTCGTAATTGAAAACTACATCAAAATTATCGTAACATACGTAAAGACTTTATTGATTGTTGCGCAGTGAATGTCGTAATGTGCTTTTTAATACTTTATTGATAAAATAATTATTTTATAAATTAAATAAATATCGGCGTCGTCCTTGGAATTGAAAAACAAACATCATACCAGTTAGGCCTATAGCCATATAGTAAGTAAAAGACGCGATTAATCAAGGATATAGTGAAATCTTTCCAAAAATAGTACCAAGAACAGTTTTAAAAGATAATTTTCAATATAGTCCTAAGTTTGGGAACCATCCATCATCCCTAAATTTCATAATTAAACATATGATGATTTTGGGATTTTGGGATATTATCCTTGAATACAAGCACGTCTAAATAATTTGAGTCCGGTAATAAATACGGACATTAGTTGTGGAGATACCGGAATGTAAATTCTACAAAGTATAAGCCTATACTCTAGAATTACTCACAATTGCAACTGATAGGTCTGTGTTGCCGTGATATAAAATGATTGCTGTGTGGTTCTTACGGGCGATGGTTTTGGTTCTGGTTCTGGTGGGTAACGTCGACCTCCAAAAATGTAGGAATATAACAGGAGGGATAGAAATAATGTTGAAATGATAGGAAAGGTCCACCACCTCAGTTTAAGACGTGCATCGTCAGTCATTGGACCTGATAAATAGGAAACTCCCAATCACACGAGCATTCTCCGGGAAAAAGAACCACATTTGGTAGTAAAATGTCGTGAGTGTTTAGAAGAAATTAAGCGATTATCACCTCCAAGAAAGGAGGCGAGACAATTAGGGTGTTTGAGCAATACACGTTAAAAAAAAGGAAAAATTTAAATCCTTCGAAAGATTGTGTATTCTGTACTATCTAGAGTGTTATCTGGATCCACGCAAATATGATTTTCTAGACCATCGACGAGTGGTAAAACGGTCCTGGCACTAAATTTAACTTAGCTTCTTTAAAGCACCACCACTTAAATTAATATCTACACAAATACCCAATTGTTTAGGGTATTTGAAATGGCTTCAATGTGGTTAAAAACTTCCAAAGGACAAGATACAGACCGCGATAGTCGTCGCCTACACTATGGAATGTTTCTCCGTTATAATAGTATCGATAATTAATATATTTATAATAACATACACAAAAGACCCTTGAGTTACGGTATGTTTTTATTGCCGTTGTTATGTATAAAAAGTATCTACGCTTACAAGCATGCCCCAATGTTGGTATATCTCCGTCTATACGAAATAATTTATACCCCTGCGTTTTTAAGCAATGATGGAATTATTTAGTATTTAAGACCAAAAATATAAAATAATTTATAACTGTAAAGTGAATGAAGAGGTTGATACGTTTTTTTGATTGATTTCCATGGTACTAATAATATATAAACTACATTTCAGGTTGTGTGAAAAAGACTCTACATGCAAACGTGTAGATATAGGAAAATGTGCGCCCTATGTTGACGCGTGCCTTATCAACAAATGACAGTTCCGTTTACGTATTATTCTAATTTTCAACATCCCCTTTTTCGTGTTTCTATATTTAAAATTTCTCCTTCAAAATAGTGCGTTCTTTTTGCACAATTGATCCAATGGAAACAGATCGTCGCTATATTTTGAGTCACAACTACAGCACGAAGGATATGGTTCGCATCCTTCGTTGCAACACATCTGGCTACTCTTATCAAGGTTCATGAGAACGCTGTCAGCAAATTCAATGTCACTTGATACTCGTTCCATTTGTAAAGCCATCTCGTTAATTGTTGCTTGAAATGCAGGTAAACTACTCAGTTCATTGCGTTCCTCGGGGTCTAGTAGGAGATCGTAAAGGAGGAACGAGTTCGCCGAAGAGTCATCACATACCGTTTCGCCATTATTGTTTGAACAGACTTTCTTGCATTCGATATCATGGATTTTGTATCGTTCGTCACGAAGACCTATTGGCCCTCTGTTCGGTTGTGGGTTTTTAGGATAATACAACATAGATGTCCTTAAACTCTGAAAAAATTTAAAAATTAATTAAATATTTAAACAACAAAATAGCATCTGCAAAATGTCATACATCATATAATAATTATCATAATTAATTGACTGACCGACCGACCAACCAGACGACCCTTCACAAACCAGCAACCACGTATACACCAATTCCAACGACACCTACTTTCATAAATCCAACCCAACCTTCTTCACAAAACACCCACCTACTCACGGCGTCGGCGGAGGATCGGCCCACGAAATTTCATTAATAACGACGAGACGAGGTGCTCGAGTGGCAGATCGTTTTAACTTTGCGTAGAAGTCATAAAAATTGTACTGAATCCAGTGTAGTGTAACGACTATCAGCTCTCACTGGCTAAACCAGGGGTCCCGGAGCCTCAAAAGGCCCCAGCACATTCGAATATTCTTCGCGACCCCTGGCCCTCAGCGCCAAGGCCCCTGCCCCTTCGTTACGCCACTGACTGAATTATGTGACACAAACTTCAATTTCGACCAAATCGGCGTTTTGAGGAAAACGCGTTTGAAGTGGACTAGTTCATAAAACAGTAAATTGCACTATAAGGATATCGAAATTTTATTTATTTTTTTACATATGTCTAAAAATAAAGCATTAAACATTTCATATGTTCAATTTATTTTTCTTTTCTTAACTTCAATTAACCTGTTAATTAGCGTGAACAGTTTGTGTCTGTTTGTGAAAACGATGAGAATAAATACAGCCTATGTTGTTCACACGCAGAGTGAAGTTTGTGTCTGCTCGTGAAAACGGAACGCGATGTACGCCCGTTTTTAAGGCACAAACTGTATTTGAGCCTATGTTTACCCATTGCAGTCAATGGTGATTCATAGGCCAAAAAAAATCGGCTTATCCTGCCTAAATTATGATGTTTTTAATTTATAGACCTAGTCCAATTTATACTGCAAGAAGGGTACCGCTATGGCTAGGTATGTTAGGAAAATCTAATTTTTACATCTAACTAGCCCTCCAAGCTAGTCCTAATCAGCCGGTCACAACGATTGCAACGCCGAACGTTCGTCTTTTGAAACCCCACTGAAAGTTTGCGTCTGCTCGTTAAAAACGGAAAATCTATTTTCCTCAGTTTGTGCGCTATGGCTAATTAGACTAATTAACTAAATGATATAGCTGAAAAGGTAGAGTTCGATGTACACAATGTAAAAGAATAAAGAAATTGAAAAATTGTGCATTTTTAGGTTTGTGTCACTTCGTGGTGTCTGTCGGTAAACGATCAATTGATACTCTAACTAGAGGCGAAAGTGTTTACCTTTTCGTTTGAAAATAGAATATTTGAGAAATCAAATCCATCAAGAACGACGTCAATATCATCTGGTAGCAATCCGCTTAAACTTCTGATTGTGGGCCATATGTCCAGTTGACTCAGGAACTCCGTTGAGATACCGCTACGGACGTGGCCTGGCCAATTGATTATAGTTGGAACACGATGTCCGCCTTCAAACGTTGATCCTTTTCCGCATCTCATCGGCCCTGTGAATCCTGCAAGTTCTTGCAGTGATAATGCAGGGCTAGAAAATTGACATCGAAAACGATATTAATTGAGACCGGTATCATTAGATGTGTTAAAGAACATTATCATCATCGTCATTTATCATCAATCACCTTTATCAAAACCACTGTCATTCTCAGCTCTTAAAATCTCAAAAAAAAAAGAAAAAAAAAAGAAAAAAAAAAACATTTTACTTTTAATGGACATCTTCAGTGAACTTAATAAGTATTTGCAACTCTGTGTGTTTATTATAATTTTTATTCACTGCATAATGGTGTCCGGCAGGGTATGGTTTTACGATCTTATTCTATATTGTACAGGGCCTCATGGGTTTGCTTATCTTGAATGCCACTTTCCATTTCAATTCATCATTTCTATTCTTACACTCATGCCTACTTGCTACCTTTTACTATATTATTTGATGTTTGAATTTGAATAGGAGTAGGCCTGGTTATACTTAATTCCTGATTTATCGTTTTATTCGCCATTTAGGCTATTTGTGTCTTACCCGTTATCAGATGTAAGTATTATCAATGTATTTTCACGCAGACCGCATTTTTCTAACTCATCTATAACTTCTCCAACCTCCCAATCCAATTCTGCTAGCGAGTCTGTGTAGTCACCACCAATTGTTGTATTTCTGAAGCGTTCACCTGCAAAATTAGGTGCATGCGTATGGGCAAATGCATAATAGAGGAAAAATGGCGTTCCAGAACAGGAGTACTCTTGAATCCAGCTTCTTGCCGCTCTTGCTTGACGCTCAGATAAATGTACTAAATCAACTGGTTGTTCGACTATTGTATTTCCATTCATTAGCTGACAAGGTGCGTGGAAATTTGTGCATATTTCTGAGTCGCATGGGTCAGTCGGGTAGAAGCATGTTTGGCAGGGACAATCAGAGTGAGTGTGTGGTATTCCGAAGTATCGATCGAACCCATGCTGTAGAGGAAGGAACTCTCTTTGATAACCAACACCGAGATGCCACTTTCCTATATGTCCTGATGTGTATCCTTGTCTGGCTAGCATCTCAGCAATTGTTATTTCCTCGTGTGGTAGACCCTCAGTGTTATCTTGGTGGAAGACGGCGTTGTCGTTATCATTCCAGACTCCTGACCGAACTGGATATCGTCCAGTCAAAAGACCCGCTCTGTTGTAGACATTAAATTAAATAATTCATAAGAGGTTTAAGCGAATTTATAAGTTACAAAAATATCATATGGAATAAAAACACTGTAGTGAAGTTCAACAAACTGAAGAAGACAGCATAGACTGCTGGTGAAAGCTTATGTATTAAATAATTTAAGTCTGTAAAGTGCTACCAGTGTCACTTTTATTTCATACGTCTACCAGATTAGCACGGCCCCATCTACTATTAAAACAGGTTCTTGTATTGTCGAAAGCTCCGATGAGGGCAGTATAATTAAAGCAGTAGGCAGTAGTGTATTATTGGCCCTACGGCCGCCCATACAAAAAATAATCTATTAATAAAAGCAGTAGAGTATATTGGCCCTAACGGCCGCTCATACATAAAAGAATATATTGCAGTAATCAATCAGCCGAAAAAAAGAATATATAATCAATCAGACAAGTATTCCCAGAGATCCTCATCGGAGCTAAAAATCATAGAAATACTTAAAGTAAACGTCGTAAAACAGCGGTACTCTTCAAATCTCCGAATTTATGCAACGTTTGGCCCGATCAACGTTTACAAAAGGAATAATAATGCTACTGCTACTACAATAATCTGTATTGACGTATTGCACACTAAAGAATCACTGTTACGGTGATGATGAAGTACTTTAAAAGTATCATAAAACTACAAGACGTATTTTTTTTAACCTACCTTGAAGGACTGCAAACGGAAGAAGCACTGTAGAATTGGGTAAATTTCAAACCATCTCTTGCCAGCTTATCTATGTTTGGTGTCTTTGATAATGGATTCCCATAGATTTGAAGATCGGCGAATCCCATGTCATCAGCCAGAAATAGAACGAAGTTTGGCTTATGAAAGCTGCTTCCAGTCGAAATGCAGGTGATGAAAAGGAATATAACTTCAGCAGATGTAGCCATTTTCCTGATTGAAATTATTGTTCGGTGGTGCAAATTATAACCAACTTTTAATCATTAATGTTGCATATAGTGATTACCTTGTAAATATGATCATGTACCAGAAAACGTGTTAAGGTTAAGGTAAAATTCACAATGAAAAACATAAAAATAGTTTGGCACTCAAGTGAAAACAATTGTAGGTAAAAGAACCCGAGCTTAGAGAGTGCCCTAAAATCTAAGGCAGAAAATTTCAAGTATGATCCTCTAGCGTGTTTCATGTGTCTGTAGAATAATTGTGGGCCTGGAGAGCGCTGTATTATATACGTCCGCACGCATGCGAACAGGCGGTAATGGTTCGGTGAATTACTTGGTATTTTGATAATAATAATAGGCCTATGTAACTGTTAGAACAATATCATTGATTAGAAACTTTGTTTTTATTTCGATGTGAAAACATCACTCCTATTTGTTTTTATTTTTATTATAGTATATAGGCCATAGGGCACAACAATGTAAGGGCATGTCAGACCATCGTTAAGATAATCTATCTCCCGATTGTCAACTCGTAGAATTTAATGCTTTTTCGTATTGACATAAAAAAACCTTACATTATTAACTAAAAAATGAACAAAATTACTGTCCCAAATTATGGCCTAAACTGTAACAGATGGAAAGTTTCGAATGTTATTAGTTGGTATAAATCATTCCATAGATAACTGTACAGAGGGTGCATAACACGGTATGTAACTGGAAACAGGCAGGGGACTTTTGTCTTGTTAATGGTAGCCCGAAGTCTTTGACAATTGTTAGTTCCAAGGTAAGGTGGTGTAAAAAAGCATAACAATTGAGAATATGGTAATATATCGTTACAGCAGGGAACACTGTTTCTTCAATTCCCACCTTCCACCCCTTTAACCACTAATATAAAATTATAATCTGTATGCTACTGTATTAAGTATTTCACCCAGACTTTTAAGCGAATACATACCTATATACTATCGTATTAATTGTATTTTACTATTTTAATTATTTTTGTTATACATTTTGTATACACTATGTCATATAATCATCAGCCAATAGTTAACACAACATATATTTTTTGTGAAATTGCTGACCCCCTATTTCTGATAATTTTATTTTGTATGTATCTTCGTCGCTTGTGGCTTAGTGGGTTGTGTTGGAGAAGCCTGGTGACACAAATATATATTGATACTTGCGATACACCACATTAATTCTGAAAAAAAAAACTTGTTGTTGGTTGAGAATATCTCGACGTTTCGATTGAGTTACTTCAATGTCTTCAGGAAAATAACATCCGCAGAAATTCCAAAACAGTGAAATACTTATGTGTTTTGGGTAATGAGACTTGCTGTTGATTGGTGGAAAACTAATCAATAACTGATACTACGTGTGAAAAGGCTAGAAAGTCAAACCCATACTTAAAGAGGCGTAAAATGGCAACGAATGGAATTTTCTGAATTAGAAAATAAACAAGAAATATTTCCTATAAAAAAACGACACATCTTTAACTTATTACTGGTTTGTAAACATAAAAATAATAGCCTACAGGTACAGGAATTGGTTTACGACTGGTGTAACAATAGCCACAAAGTTATTTACATTGCGGTCACAGGATTAAAATAATATAAAAAAGCATACTAAACAGTAAACTCTACATTATAAAAAAAAACTCCAGGTAAAACTATTCCCCATCGGACACCATCCCGGTATTTCAGAGTCAACATATAAACAAAAACTAGAATGGAGAACCCGATAATGAAATGTTATACTAACCTGTACTTAGTTAAGACAAGGTATGGGATAGGAATACAGTTTTAGCTTAGGCGGTAGTACTGTGGTTTAGCTGGTATTTTGATAATTTAATATAATATTCGTGCTATTTTAGGAAACGGTTAGAACAATATCATTAATTAGAAAGTTTTTCTTAATTGTTATTACAGTATATATTAAATTTCAATAGACCACAACAATGTAACGGTATGCCAGACCATTGTTAGGTCGTGGCAGTGTGAGACTGGCTTATAATCTCTTCCTCGATTGTCAACTAGTAATGCTTTTTCGTATTTATCAAAGCCCAAAAAAATTAAATTACACCATTAACTAATAAGAAATGATGCGCAATGAAGAAAATTACTGTCCTAAATTATTGCCTAAAGCTGTAACAGATGGAATGTTTCGAATGTTAATAGTTGGCATACATTAATCAAATAATTGTACAGCTGGGAAAACATGGTTACGTAACACGATGTAATTTGAAGTAGGAAGGGGACTCGTGTCAACGGCAGACCGTAATATTTCACAATTGTTAAAGTGGGGTTGAAGCATATCCTAAGTCATAGATAAGGTGGTGTAAAAGCTAAACAACATTTTAAAACATATAATATAGGCCTACTTTAAAAGTCGTCAATTTGCGATCAATGGAATTCTGCTAACTTGGCTCACGAGCATTTCGGTCAATTATTGATGCCTTATAAAACTAAATTCATTGTGAGGTGACGTACAGATATGGACAGGTGAAGCAACATTTGTAAGTTTTCTTATTGTCCAAAGAGTCGGGGGCGCTTTTCTAGCACTTTTGATGGATTTCCATAAACATTAATAGAAAGCAGGCAGTTTTTAAGGGAACCTCCTTTAAAGGTCAGGAAATACTACGCTTCATTTTCGGATAGAAAGAAAAGACGATCTCTTTGCATTATTGTCCTCCACATATCCTGTTAGAGTTTGTTTGGTTTTGCTTTAAAATTATGTAGGTATTATTACATATCTGGAAAACCGTTTTGGCGCCGATTCTGAGTACAATACATAAATCTAAGTGTGAGCTCTTTACTAGAATTGGAAAAAATCATGCCTTCCAAAATTTTCATGCCATTAATTTACCAAAAACCTATATCATTAAAGCCAATCAAGTTAACTTACTCAACCAGATCTGTGATTCAAAGTCCAGGTGTTTTTATTCACATTTACTGTATAGTGCATGTTAAGAACACCCTAACTGATAACAAGCAATGATTTTTCCATTTCTAATATAATATTCAACAATTATTATCGTCAACATGTTTAAAAATCTTGCAAATATGTTGACTGTGTTAACCATGGAGTTTGTGACAGTGTTAAGTTTGCCATTTTTGTTGATGATTTCAACACTCTTCTTAATTTGTTACAAACTTTTTAATGGATTATATAATTTGAACACTGTACATAATAATGAATTTGTTATTGACGGTGCGTTCATAAAGAAAAACATATAAAACAGCAGTGTAGACAGAAACACAGCAATGTACAATACGGTACATAAAACGATAAAAAATTTTAAAAGTACTCATTATTCAAACACCGTTTCTATTTACAATTGGTAGTTACCTACTGAAACAGGTTTAGAATGATAAAAGACTCTTTGTTTCTACTGGAATTAAGGCCTCTGTGGTCGAATTGGTAAGACGTTCGCAGGATAAGCGAAAGTTCTTGGGTTCGAGTCCCGGTGGAGACAAGGTTTCTCTTTTCATTCTGATCAGATTTTCTTCTTCTGTTACGTTTAAATTATATAATACAACTGTAGGACTCTGAACTACTACACATTATGTATAGGATAAGATGCATCTTGTCCATAGTTATATATATATATATATAATTATATAGGTATATATGACTATAATAGTAATTATTATTTATTTACAGTAACCCCAAGATCTATTTTACTTTTTTTGAATTAGTCGGCGGTTTCTTTGCGTTCTTGTTCTTATTAATTGCTGATCCCTTTGATACAGTTACCCGGAAAGGAGAGCCCTTAATCTGCTTCCCATCAATATGGATCTTCACACCAAATGTTCCAGTTATTGTTGGCAGCCATGAGAATTGATAAGTTCCATTTTTATGCGACTCGAGAGTAGGTGTTGCGATAACTTTCTTTTCGCTGTCGATAATTTCAATAGAAGGAGCGGGGTCTGCAACACTAGCATTGCCGTCTTCATTCTTCGTTGTCACAGTGATAGTCTTCAGTTCTCCAGTCTTAGCGTCAGTTACTCGGCTGAAGGACGAGTGTTCAGGAGAAACATCACTGATTTTGAAGCAACAGAGGTTTTCAGAGTTGACACTCCCAACATTTTGCTCGTTGATAACGATCTTTAGTACCTCTGTCACACTGACAACCTTTCCAGCGTGTTTGGTACTCTTCACAGTCTTCTCGAAAGATTTGATGTGGTTTGATGTTGCATGACGTAGAAGCTCGCAGTTCCGACTGCCTACAAGACACTCTATATATTCAATTAGCGATTTTATGTTGCAAGAGCTGTCATTAGTGTGACTAAGTAGATTTTTCATTGCTTCATATTTATTTTGGTATTTTTCTTCTAGTTTTTCGTTCAATTCTATTTCACATTTATCAATCTTCTCTCTTAGTTCAGAACACAGTTTTTTAATATCGGCAGAAGCTTGTTCCTTCAGAGGCTGCAACTTATCAATTGCCTGGTTGATGTTGCTCATTGTCTGGTCACTGATTTTACTTTGTTTATGTAATTCATCAGCTACTTTCTTCAGCTTTGGCGTAAGTCGATCTACGTAATCCGCAACTGGTTCGACGTCATGCTTAGCCCGTTGGTGGTCGATCACATTACATGCCATGCATATAAAGACGTCACATACCCTGCAGTAGACGTCCACCTTCGCCTGAGGATGCACAGAACAATAGACAATCTGTAGCGCCAGACGATCTTTGGTGTTGAGCTTCTGATACTCATCGATCTGGATACACTCGTGGTCTTTGGTTGCAGGGATCAGTTGGTGCCGCTCGGCATCCCTGTTGCAAAGGAAGTGCTCACAGTTCGTGCATCTTTGAGTCGCATTTGATGAGCATAGACTGCATTGCACATCATTGCCGGAGGATTGACACTTCAATACCTTTTCAACAAGCGGATCTACAGAAAGATCTTCTAAGTTGTCTGGTATACTTGAGGCACATACGGGACACATGGCATCATTTTTATTTTTGGAGTCGATATGCTCTTTAAGGCATCCGATACAAAAAGAATGAATGCATGCCAAGCTTCTAGGATCATTTAACTGTTTCTTGCAGAGAAAACAATCCCCAATAGTACCGGTACTTTCTTGTACGTCGTTTTCTGCTGTTTCATTCTCTTCTTTGGCCTGATCGTCAACGGGGGTGTCCTCATTAACAATTGTTTCAGGGGCATCATCTGCTTTTGTATCTTCATCTTCGGTAGTCTGTTGTTGGTTTATTCCATCGTTTGCTTCTAATTCATCAGACATATTCTACTGAAAGAAAAGAAAAAATAGAAATTATATCACAAAGGATCCATGGAAACTGCTATTAAAAATGCTCAAACACTGGCGTACAAACCACATCGGTGTTCGGTAGAGTGAAACATGGTTACTGCCTATATCCCCTCCTATCAACAACATCTCAGATCTCATTATTGCCCGAATGCATCGTTTTTTTATTATTTGCAGACCACATTCGTGTTAATATACGGTATTGATTAGATCAGAATTTAATGAAGTGCCAGCCACATTGGTTACTGCATTTATTTTCACTAATTATAAAACAAATGAGCAAAATATGTTACCATAATTCATCCCAATATTACGAACCTCATCAGATGGAATGATTGTGTTGTCTCCAATGTTGATGTTTTGAATGATAGGTACATTTCTAAGATGTTTGAGGTGAATGAACAGTACCTCAGTTTTATCAGGATTTAAACAGAGCATTGTATGCTAACCAAAATTGGACATTTCTGACGAAATCTTCAATAGCAACTTAGCCTCATCATATCTATTTCTTCTACAGACGTTATACAATTAGAACATATTATTCAGTTATATAATGATTAAATGACTAAATGATGATGATGATGATAAAATGAAAACCAAGTAGAAAAGGATAGAACATGATTGGGTCGGGACGGAGCTCCTTGGATTAACGTAAATGGCCCTTGGTGTCCTAATTTGGAAAAGCCACTCACTTCTTTTAGTATAATGACTTCATTGTTTACTGTATTTTACTGTGCTGAGCAATTTGCAGTATTAGATGAATTGGAGGACTGTTTGAGCGTATTTATTACGTCACCCTAAAAAGCCACGCCTCCTTCTTTTGAAGTCGCGGTATTTAGCAACTACCGCGTGAATGGACGTTTCTAATTTATTACATACATTAAATACAATGTATACAGTGTTCAAACTGTCTCTTATACACATCTAGATGTGTATAAGAGACAGCTACAATTCCAACTCTAGATCCAGGTTAATGTCTAGTGGGGCTGAGCCATACCATCGACGTAAAGATGATATAATACGAAACAGGGGAAAACTTCAAATTCGATTCCCTCAGGAGAAGATGTTATAAAAAAAATCTATAGAAAAAACGTGGATCACGTTTTATTGCAAAGTGCGACAGCTCAGTTATTACAAAGTGCGACAGACCTTATTACAAAGTGCGACAGTTATTAGGCCTACAAGTGCGACAGAATTTATTATAAAGTGTGACAGTTATTACAAAGTGCGACAGTTATTACAAAGTGCGACGATTATTATGAAATGCGACGCAACATACGTGTAGGTTGTCGAGAAATGATGATAATTGTGGCAATGTGTTTGCAGTACTATGAATCGGAAAGATTCCTATAGAGCTGGACCTGACCTAGCCTAGTAATGTAGTACTAAGCACCAGCGATCGGTCACCCTGTGTGTATCGTGGGTTTCTTACCTTGAAGCCTGTTTTCCACTTGCGAATATATTCGCTAGTGTCAAAAGCGTTTGTTCATGCGCGTGCTATTCACATTTTGGGGGGGGGGGTCGCTTCAGCGAAATCGGTAGTTCGAATTGTTTCTACTTTTTGCTTAGCGCAAAAAAGTGCGCGACCAATCGGAGTTCATGAACCGAATCGATGCCTTCGATTCGTGCGAATAAATGCGCCTAGTGGATAGCCTACTGATGTACTGCGTAGCGGGAGACGGTGAGGCTATTTATTAGTAAGACTAGGCAATTAAACAGTAATTAGACAGTGCAGTTATATGTTATAGAAAGTACACTTTCGAAAGAAATAAATTAAAATACTAATATAGCAAAATTACTAATAACTACAAGGTTTGTGAGCGTAAATTCCATAATACGAATTAAGGGTAGCACCAGCCCCTTGCCATACAAATTACAGCTCCCACTGACGTCTCAGTCAAGAAATACGGGTAGATGAAGTTTTCTCGCAAATCTGACTACAAAATGAAATCCAAATTTCACGTTCCACTTCTAAACTTTGAGTTGTTTTTTACACACGCCGCTGAGGGCGGTGTTCCGGGAACCCTGCGTCTAGATGTAGATAAGAGCTCAAGAACATGTGGTGGAGAGAAGTGTAATCAGGTAGGATATGCATGAGGGTGATTTGTTTTTTATTGATATGTATGTGAAAAGCAACAATTTAAATTTTAGGCGTGTCTTAACGGGTAACCAGTGAAAGTAACTAAGAGCAGCTGTTATATGCTCAAATCTAGAAACTCCTGACACGAGACGTGCAGCCGTACTCAGGAGAAGCTGCAAATTACTAGATATACCTTTAAGGAAGACCATGGAATGTAATATTGCAATATTCTAGCCGAGATGTAATTAATTCATGGACAATCTTGATGGTTGTTTCTTCTGTTGAAAAACCTTCGAATGGTTTTGATGTTGCGTATGTGATAAGATACTGCTTTACCTATGTTGTTAATATGCCTATTCCTTGTCATTGAAGAGTAAAATACATCCAAATATTACGAACCTCATCAGATGGAATGATTGGGTTGTCTCCAATGTTGATGTTTTGAATGATAGGTACATTTCTAAGATGTTTGAGGTGAATGAACAGTACCTCAGTTTTATCAGGATTTAAACAGAGCATTGTATGCTAACCAAAATTGGACATTTCTGACGCAAGCTTCAATAGCAACTTAGCCTCATCATATCTATTTCTTCTACAGACGTTAGACAATTAGAACATATTATTCAGTTATATAATGATTAAATGATTAAATGATGATGATGATGATAAAATGAAAACCAAGTAGAAAAGGATAGAACATGATTGGGTCGGGACGGAGCTCCTTGGATTAACGTAAATGGCCCTTGGTGTCCTAATTTGGAAAAGCCACTCACTTCTTTTAGTATAATGACTTCATTGTTTACTGTATTTAACTGTGCTGAGCAATTTGCAGTATTAGATGAATTGGAGGACTGTTTGAGCGTATTTATTACGTCACCCTAAAAAGCAACGCCTGCTTCTTTTGAAGTCGCGGTATTTAGCAACTACCGCGTGAATGGACGCTTCTAATTTATTACACGTAAACCGCTGAGAGCGCTATATCGTTATTATAAGATGTTTAGATTTAAGTACAAATATAAAATTCGAGCGTTGTGGAGCTGTGCCATAGCGAATATGATTTCGATTTTCATTCCTCAGTACTTTTTAATATCAAATACTCTACTTGACATATTTTTGGCTACGCTACTTTAATAATTTATTAATATTATTAATAATAATGATTAATTAAATAATAGTTGGTCAGAGGGCTTATTTTATGGTTGTAAAATATACAGTAAATGCTCGAATAAGCGCCGATCTCGAATAAGCGCCGCATTTGAATAAGTCACAATGCGCTTAATCGAAATTATATATTACCTTGTGCGTAATGAAACACTTTGAGAAGCAGGGTTTTAAATACAATGTATACAGTGTTCAAATGAATAATAGCACAATTAAGGCACAAACATATTATTATTTATAAACGTTTATCTTCGATGATAGGCATTACCGAACTACGAATACGTGAGATACGATAGGTAACACGGGAACAGCCATTTAAAGCGCCACCCAGAGCCTTCAAAAATTGTCTAAATGACGTGGCACTTATTATACAGTGAAAAATGAATTATAACACTATTAAGACATAAGCATTTCTTTATAAACGTTTATTTACTATGACGTTGGGCCTGAGATATGCCTGAACTACGGAAATACGTAAGATAGGTAACATGGGAACGGACATGGAAAGCGCCACGCCACTATTTTGCTATAAACGCAGCTCTCGTATAAGCGCCGCTCTCGTATAAGCACCGCACTCAAATAAGCGCCGCACCGAAACCTCCAAAAATGTTATAAGCGCCGCGGCCGATGCTTATTTATTTATTTATTTTCAATCTTTCGACAAAGAACAGAAAAGGTTGAACAGGGGTGCCGAGGAAAAGCAGAAGTTAGAAAACTGTCATCGATTGATGTGCTCAACCGAATCCCTGCCAACAAAAACAATACAAAACAAAATCATTCATAGGAAACAATAAAAGGAACAAGTAATCAAAAAGCAGCACAAAAAAAAAAAAGAAACAAAAATAAAATAAAAGTAAGCAAGCAAGCAAGTAAAACAAAGATAATAATTATTCCAGCAAAAATAAATAAATAAAAATTGAAAAGATAAAAATTTAAAATATTAAATTATTATATATATTTATCTACAGTTATCACATCCAAAAACAATATTTCGTCGTTTAAATACAAATTTTAAAATGCAATCGCCATAAGAAAAACATAAATTCAATATTTATGCACGTTTGAAAAAGTACTATAACAAAATTAAAAATCAACATTTACTCAAAATAGCGAGTGAGTACACATACACACCCTGCATTGCAATCTGAACAGGGACAAGAATACGTTCGTGCCTGACAAGCAGACGTATTGTCCCACAAACCTTAGCAACAATATCCAAGGGGCAGGGCTTAGCGGAAACGTCCATTGCAAGGGTTTATATTTATATGAGAAGACTTGTACCACCAACATAAAATAAGACGAGCCATGGCATTGGTATTTGGCGATTGATATGCCCCCCCCCCCACCAACCCCCGCTCTCTGAACCGCTCAACCCTATCTCAGGCTCCACAGGCTTCTTTAAGAGAACACAAACACAGCAAGATGATAAATTAGGAAAGATGCAGCAACTGGGTGTTGGCACGCGTAATATAGCTGTTATAATCTCAGTTTATTGATGTTCCTGACAAAAGAGTTGCTAGGTCGGGCGTCGCTCATAATCTTTCTAAAGTGTTCCCGGGCCCCCGAAATAATGACAATTTGGTGGTTTCAAGGGCTAACCAGTATTTAATCGATTTTAGAGTCAA